TCCGAGTGTTTCCACATGTTTGATGTCTCTCCCAACCCCTAACCTAAAGCCTTCGGCTTGTTGCCATATGGCAACATACAAAACATAGTAGACTCCATGGGGACAACGGATCAAGAGTCTTTGAGACGTACATCGGGTTTCGGATACGGTCGTTGAGATTTTGATGTTGATAAGTTCTTACCGTTTTTTCGTTGGGAACAACTCACTTGAACATGTTGGATTGGACTCGACGACAGGCGAGTTCGCATTTGCGCATCGCCGTTTTTACAGAAAACAGTTGTAGTCGAGCACGTTGAGATCGTATTGTGGAAGCATTGAGGCTTCACTCGTGCTGGTTGTTGTTGGAAGACACTGCTTGACATCCGGTCAGGATAGCCACGAAGGCAGCCTTTTTGCAGAATCATTACAAACCTTTTGCCTTCCCTCCGTAGCAATTGATGTGCATGCAAAACAGAAAAGCCACATGAAACCCTCAATCCAGTTGAAAACAGTAAAAACATGTTCGCGTTGCTATTTCTCCCGCATCCGAGCTTCGAATCCAAAAGCAGCGAGGGGATGTGTTGCTTTTGGCATGAGACTCGGAATCTTGTTGTTTCGATAATTTGTGGGCATGGTGTACACATGTTTGTATGTTCGATCAGCCAAATGGGCTCCTTCATGAGAAGGCCAAAGAGCCTTTCGCATCAAATTGGAGGGCTGTGCTGCTTGTGGTGGATCTTGGACGACTGCAACGTCCATAATGACTCACCAGATGGGTTGCTTGTCGGAAGTGGGAGCTTTTGACTTTTGTCATGAAAGTATGGGCATTTGGGATTTGTCGGTTCGATGCAAAAGTAGAAGCTTGGGCAGTGGGCGATTGTAACCAGTTGGAACCGATTTAGTTTTTCAATATAACGCAAGGAGCAGGCGGGCCTCGGAGATGTTTCAGAACAGTCGGTACACAAACCTAAGTTTTTCCCTTGGTGCAGGGCAACTTTAACATGTCGCAATTGTTCAGAGAAGCGGCTAGTTTTGTGCATTGCTACACCAGGTGACAAGTTTCACGACCTCAAGAAGGAAATATTGCAGGATACGGCGGCCATGAACAGGTGTTTTGGCTGCTTTTTGGATTGTTTGCGCTGTTGCACGATTCCATCAAGGCTTTGGCAGGTGAACGTGCTCAGCGTGCTGAATTTCTGAAACATGATGACTTGCGACAGTTGCAACCAGTTGCATGCATTCGGGCCCATCATTTTGAGTCAGTCTTCTTAGTCGCGGGACCACAATCTAGGTCTCGCGGGGCAAGTCATAACAAACTCGGACTCAGGAAAAGGCTTTGGTGTATCGACAGTCGGAATGTGCCAGAAGCCACTCAGACAGACATTGCGGGATGCGCGTCACTCGGGAGGTCCCCATTCTTGCTGATGCTGCCAGTCCTCGGCACGACGAAACTGGATGCTCAGAGTCGCTTGACCCAGAGGAATGTAATCGCCGGTATGTGAAGTTCCTTGCCCAGCAAACGGTGCAGGACCGTGTTTAGCTGATGACCTGGTTCAGAAGTTCTATCGGCCCGAAGTATATTGGGGCAGCCGGGCAACCGACTGCCACCAGAGATTCTGCATGGAGTGCACCGGAAGACGGCTGTCTCTGAAAGAAAAGCCACTTTCCATCTCGCCCTTGCCGAGGCTTCCGAGATCGCGCCGGGGGTGCATGGAGCACGATTGGCGTGGTGCCTGGTTGTGATATTTGTCTGTTTTGGCCGGCTCGAAATCCGAAGCCCAAACGGAGGGCGCGTTGTTTGTTTTCTTCCGTATTTTTTCTGGCGCGGTGAGGCTTGGCAGCAAAAAAGAAAGAAGGCAACAGAGACTGGAAGACAAAAAAAATATGAAAAAGCAAGCAAAGAACTAGCGACGGAAAGGAGGAACGAAATAAAGAAGGAAATCAATAAATAAATTAAGAGAGAAAGCAATAAAGAAAGAAATAAAGGAAGAAATAAGGAAGTAACGAAAGAAATAAACACAAAAAAAGGAAAGTAAGAAAGAAACAACTAACGAAATAACGAAATGTTGAAGTAAAGAATCAACTAAATAACGAAAGAACTAAATAAGTACATAAAGAAATAACTAATGAAAACGTAAATAAATAAAGAAGTAAACAAAGAAAGACATGAATGCAAATAACGAAAAACATACATGAACAAAGAAAAAATCCAAACGCCACACCCCTGAACCCTGAATCGCTGTTCCTGAGCCATTCAGCAGATTTCAGAGCCTTTGCTGTGCACGGCACATCCTCAGTATAATCTGGACGTTACACTTAGATAAGAAAGCGAGAGAAAGCGGGAGATTTTTTCCTTAGGCTAGACCTGTAGCTGATAGCTTGTTGATGCAGGGGCAAGACCAGCATGAGTCATACGAGACGAGTTGGGCCAGTAAGGTGACTCGGGGAGGGTGTGTAATGTAGGCACTCCGCCGCGCACAACTGTCTCCAAAACACATGGACGTCAGTATTACCGCTCCTGGAGTGTATCTTCATGCTTGTTTCCATAGAAGAGTTGAGTTGGAGCCTGCTATTAAGATGCCCTCAATGACTGCACCTGCCTTCGCAAGGTTGCTGCGCTCATCCTCACCATGAGCAACTTCACAGAGAACGTGGAGTGCGATGACTACACGGCTTTCCGTCCAAAATGGACTGCATAAGGTTGCGCCCAAATGATGCAGGGGAGAAGGTTTGAGCTGTGCTAGGCCACGCAGCGTAGAACCAGAGCAGTCGACAAAATTTGCCTTAGTCATGTGCTTGCAAACGACTAAGGTGTCCTTGTTTCGAAGTGCATCAGTCTGCAACAGCCTGCATCCCATCCTGTCCTTCGTGGCCATGCTATCTTGCACGGTGTCAGCGACGCTTCGCCTTGCGATCGCGGTGGTTGTGGCTGTAGTCCGACACCCTAGAACCATACAGCCTACCCTAAACTAAGCTCCAAGACCAGATGACCCCGAAACCTCAAACCTTCAAAACCCTGATCCCTTAACAATGGACACTCTAAATCTTCCGCCTCCGTGCAGATGCCTCTGCCTGTGTCCCTTTAGGTGTAAACCGGAGGGAGCGTTTTCTTTGAAGCATAGTCTACCAAATTATGGGTTTTATGGATGGGGGCTTTAGGAACATAAGACTGAAGCCATATGCAGACTTTCCATCGTCACGCAAATGTAGGAATCGATCCTTAGGATCATGTCAACGATTTTGTACATGATGATTGGCTTCGTCCCGGATGAGTACATTCGCGAGTGGGCGCAAGGCATCTCCTGGATTCTTGAAGCTCCAACGTTTAGCTTCATCGCTGGCATAGCCTCTTGGCGTTCATTTCGCTCTGGATCATGAGGGTCATCATCCAAAGAAGTGTTTGCAGGTTTCCTTGTCTACAGCGGAACCGAAAATTAAGTAATTAACACCATGCACCCAGAAACAGCAGCGGCGATGGCCCATGGCGAATTTCTTGCCCAGAGGCATGAAGAACACAACACCATCACGGCGAGCAGCTAGCAATTTGTTAGGACTGTCCAGGGTCCGATGCAAGATGGTGTGACTCGAGATGGTGTGCGCGTATGTCGCACCTCTCGAGTCAGAGCCACACCATCTCGGTGTCGTGCGCATTCATTGAACCTCGCGAGCCAGTGCAGCTCAAAGATTGTGTTCTTTGCTGCACAGCAAGGTTGCCTGGGCCCTGGATATCCTTTTCCAAGGTGCCTTGCATGTGCAGGTATTCTGCTTTTAAGTTGGAATGGGTTGAAGGTTCCGGATCCAGGGTGTGCGGGTAGTGGCTCGTGCTTCTCGAAGAAGATGTGAGAGGAAGCCTCATTAGTTTTGGCCGTCATCCAGCCTCAAGGCCTTTAGCGTCTTTATAAACTCATAATTCATACCCTTCAGTCCTAAACTCCTCCAGCACTAAGTCCTAGGCCCAAGGCCCTAAATTCCTTGAGTCCTAAACCCTAAACCCCTAAAACCTGGGGAACCTTAGAAGTGTTGAGTGCTAGGTATCGTCAAGCACGGGCAAGTGGGCCTCGTGCTCGGCGGGTGCAGCCTGGTAAATATTTAGGGTTTAGGGTTTAGGGTTTAGGATTTAGGGGTTTAGGGGTTGGGTCAGAGTATGTTTGGACAACATCGGTTCTTCAGCAGCTTACGATCACGATTATGATGTGTCGAAAAATTTGGAATCGAGCTAGCAAGTTCGAAAGAGCTGAAGGTGGCTTGACAATGTGTGGAGAGCTTTCTTTCACAAAAGGCAAACCACTGTTCGTCGTGAGTGCCACAGACCCGGATATCGCAAATACGAACTCAAAGACCCGAAGCCCAATGCAGATGAGTCCGGGCCTTTTGCTTGATTTCCTCCGCTTGTCTTCTCAGGCATGGTTGTGGTGGGCTTAGCCGTGTTCGCGACGTACCTGAAGATCAAGGCGATCACCAATCAGCCGCCGATCCGAAAAAGTTGCCACGTGGGTCCGTCAAGCCGTTTGCAGAAGTGGAGCTGCCTGCCCACGGCTACATAAAATAGGCCAGCAGCCACTGGCAATCTGGTTAGAGAGAGGGTCATGCTGATCTTTCTCATAGTTCAGCGATTCTCTGTCAGCTGGCGAGATGGGCACCGCACCGATGGAGTCTTCTCGCGTCTGCTGTCGCCCAGGTTGCTGCTCCGGGCGTATGCTGAGACGCAGTAAGGGTCAGGAGCGAAAGACTGAGCATCCAACAGTGCCAATGTGCGCATCAATCAGTCGGAAGATCAGTCTAAGCGGAGAAACCGTAGAGTTCAAGCTTGATTTGGTCTCAGGCAAGTTCTTTTTTTCAGCATCTCTGCCACCTCCCCTGAGAATTCCCTTGCGTGCCTCCCTCTAACTGAGTCCAGTCATGAGAATTTCGCACTGTTCGTCAAGATTCAGCTTGTGCAGAGCTGTATTGGCTGGGGATTGCATGTTGGGCCTGCCTTGATGTAATCTTTCGTCGCCAGTAACAGTAGTATATGAATGTCTCATACTTACTGCAATAAACAACATAGCGCATTGATCGCCATGATCGTAATGGTAGTGACAACAATAGTAGCAGTTGTACTAGTCATAGTCACAGTCATAGCCATGGACACAGTCATCGTAATTGCTAAAGTAATAGCCACAACATAAGTGGAATTAAACATCACGATCATGGCATACGACACTATGCTCCTCATGCAGCAGGTATGTTTTGCAGGTTGTGGTTGCTCCAGTTTTCGCGATCTGGATGTCGATTTCCGGCAAGAATGCAGCAAGGGTCGCGCATCACAATTAGGAGCTTTGGCTTTGTTCCATTTTTCTGCGCACCCCGATATAGTGTCCCTTGTGACCAGTATCTCAGGTGAGAGCAAAGAGTCCGATTGCTTCCCAGAGGATAATGCCAAAGCGCTGTTGGGTTTCAACCATTGATGGGTTTAGGGGATTGCAGACGCTTAGTCTTCGGTGAGAGTATGGGGTGGAAGTAGATTAACGGGCCTGGGTCTCCTGGCAGTGTTTCTGTGGAGGGGTTCTCCCACCCCACAACTGACCGACTTGTGGAGGTGTGCCGCCGATGTAGGCGTTGAAGGAGGCCCTTGTGCTCAAAGCTAAGGAGGGCGAGGGAGAGGGAGAGCGACCATGCAGACTGTTAGAGGATTGTTGTCGATTCCTGTGATGGCGTGAGCGTCTTAGGCATACAAAAAGCTGGTGGGAACCGTGGTGCTACATCGCGGTTTTCGACCGGATGCGAGCTTGAGAGAGCAGAATGCCATGGCCTTCGAGAAATTAATTCAGCACGTGGCGGAATTCTGGCAAGAGACGGCTCTGCATTCTGCCCCCAAAACGGCTTCTGATATTGCGTTTCTGTGGCTCTAGTGCGGAGTTAGCAAGATCTTAGGTCAACATACACGTTTTTGCACCATGCTCCGTTTCGTGGAGGCCCTAGGCAGCTCCAGCAAGTCCCTGCTCGCACAACACACGCTCTGTGAGACGGTTTGGCCTGTGGCTACAGCTGCAGCCGGAGTCGCTGCACTGCAGGCAGTTTAGCCGTCACGTCACAAGAAGAGAACTCGCTCACACTCTCTCTCTCTCGGCAGCCTCCTTAGCATCATGAAGAGGACCTCGCCCCCCTCCCCCCCCCCCGGTCGCATATCCGCTAGAAACGGGAGTCTTCAGTCGGGGGAGCCGAGCCATGGGCGCTGGCAACAGCGCACCTAAGCCGCTTGCCACCAGCTTCGGGGAAGAAGCCGCTGCCGACATCTCAGGGGGCTTGGCTGAAAGGCCTTCCGGTTTGGGATTACAGTAGTGCTCACAGAGTTGCATGTGCGGAGGAGGTATTGCTTGTTGTGTGCACAGGCAAAGATCATTTCCTTGAGTGGACATGGCCTCCTCTCGGCCAGAAAGACTATGGACATGGGATTTCAGACATCGTCCTTCCAAGCCATGTCTGAGAAGCTCGCACGAAGCCCCGGCGTGAGAATCTAGGCCCTGAAACCCGAACCGCCGAAGCCCAGATGATTCCCACGTATCCGGGCTTCAGTCTCAAATATTCATCTTTGACCGAAGACCCAAGACCCTAAACACCAAACCAGAATCCCCAATTCCGGAACCCAAGATCCGAACCCTCAACCCTACATCCTAACCCCGGCTTCCCTTAAGGGTCGCCGCGGGCCCTCCTTGGGCAGCATCCTCCTGCAGGGCCCCGAGGCCAGATGTTCTTGCGGGTTATGTGCTGTTTATTTGCAGGTATTCGATTTCTTTGGGTTTTGGTGGTTGGGCTTATCTTGAGTAGGTGTTCTGCCAGATGCTGTGATGCTTTCTAGCGGCTTTGTGACTCACCTAGGTTTGGGGACTTGGGTGGGCGGGCGGGCAGGGGGGGGGGGGGTTCTGAAGTTTGAGTCTGCCCTGGGCTTGCAGGCGCTTCGCGTTTAGGGATTTCGGCAGTTCGGCAGAGCCTTGAAGTCCCCAAATCCCAGCTCAAACCCAGGCCCAAGGCCGTGCGCCCCAGAAGAATTGAACGCCCAGAGCCGAAGATCCAGCAGGCCAACCGGTACAGGGTCGTCTTGGTGACGCCGCTCAGGATCCAGGCGGAAGAATTACGTTATGATGTTCTGTTCTGCTCCGTTCTAGTCTTTTTCCATTCTACTCTTCTTCCGTATCTTTTCATAGAGCCCGGCAGAGGTCCCGGACCAAACAGCCCTTCCGCCNNCCCCCCCCCCCCCCCCCCCGAATCTGTGAACTCGAAACCCGAGGCCCTCAAGCCTAAAAGTCAACAGCTTGGGTTCTTAGCCCTAAGTTCTTCAGATTCAAGTTGCTGGTAATTCATGAACTCCATTATTATTATTATTATTAT